TAAGAGGTTTATTAATCTGGGTTTGAGTGACAGCCCCACAGTGATCATCTGGCTCCTCATCAGCTCACACACTATCATCATCAGCAGCAGCGCGGCTCTCAAAGCGCCGGGGCCACTGAGCCGTTTCACAGCCTTAAAAAGATATTGAGGATAAAAGCTGAAGCACAACTGGTCTGTTCTTCGATGTGTACACTCCCTGTTATATAATGCTGCTTTATTTTCCCACAAATGACTATTATCCGCACTATTAATCATGTTGAACAGTGATGCTACCTGCTGTTTGTGATGTATTAATGATCTTACTGATACTGAGTTTGTAAAAAAACAGAAAAGCTCCAGATCTTATTTTCAGTGTGTTTCTGTAAAGCTCACCTTCGTGCAGGAACAAAGGAGAAGTGTCCGGCCGTGTTCGGGGAGAAGTTGCGAGGACTGTCCAGCGGGCTTGTACCTGACAGAAAATAAAAATAGAGACACATTACAGAAAAACCCTGCTGAAAAGACATCTTCTCTGTTTCTATTTGTGCATCTCAGCAGCTGATAAGAAACAGGAAATGAGCTGTTCTGAACAAAATGACTGTATAATGAATAGTTTACGAGCAGTTAATGTAATGGAGCAACAATGGAGTCGTACATATTTTGTCAACAGAGATAAAAATATATTAGGTAAAGAATATAATTGCAATATTGGTCCAACCAAAGTTATGTTAGGTGTTGGAAATCTAAATGAATCCTGGTTTTAACAATTGCTTCTTGCTTTTTGCGTGCCATTGGTCATGTAGTGGTAAGACTAGTGAACATCTCATTTCCAGAAGCATTTCACCAATTTCATTTCACCTGTATGTGTTCTTAAAAACATTTCATACATTTTCCTTTTCAGTTGAAGGTCCTTGAAACCGCCATGAAATGAGAATTATTAACAACTACAACATATGGCAGTCACTATCGATTGGCTTTAGCAAAACTACAATTACTGCCTCCGCCAACCAATGTACACAAATATACATCTACAGTATGTTCGTCCAGACTCCTTTAATATATTTAGTGAAGACTTTGAAGGTATACTTTGACCTTTTTAGTGTTTTAATTCGTTTACTGAGGCCACAGGGGCCTTGATCTTTACCACCATATTCTGTTTCTACTATATGGGTTTGTGTATGTGGAAGTTTGAGCCAAATTCCAAGAGAAACAGGCTAAGACACTTAAAGTCACAATGATTAAGAGAGTGAAAACAAAGCTCATTCAGATGCTATGGCTACACAAACATCTGTCTTTGTGTTGAACAAGAGGACACATCCATCCATGCACTGAACATAAACCACCTGCAGCACAAACTGAACACTCTGCTGTGAAACTGATGCCCGGGTAATAGATGATCCTCATCTGAATAAACCTGAGATTATTTCATAAACATACAAACATGTACATAAATAAATACACGGTGTGATGGATACCAATATTCTAAGCATGGAAGCATAACTCAGCGGACGGAGGCGGGGAGGGTGGAGAGATTAAGTAGTCGGACATTTCCACATCAATTATGCATTCTCTTCAGCAGCACGCCTGGACAGAGCACGAACTCAAATATTAATACGAGCATTTGCTCTCTGTCAGATGGGAATCTCTGTCTCTGTCTGCGGAACATGTATGCACATACTCAAGTGAACACGCGTGTTATTAGTCAAACAGAAGCTTGTTAGTGCCCACCTCACTCGTGTAAAATGTCTCGTTTGTGCTCGTGTGTGTTGTTTGGAAGCTGCTGGACTTACATTTGGAAGAGGCAGGGGTCTCTTTGGGGCTGTTATCAGGCTCTGTGTATGACTGCACTGTCACACTTCATGGTTCCCACTGTGAGTGCATACAGTACGTGTGTGTGTGTGTGTGTGTGTGTGTGTGTGTGTGTGTGTGTGTGTGTGTGTGTGTGTGTGTGTGTGTGGGTGTGTGTGTGTGTGTGTGTGTGTGTGTGTGTGTGTGTGTGTGTGTGTGTGGAGCATTCGTCAACATAAGTCTCCATCACAGACAGAGGAATCCATCTCTCTCTGTGAAGAACAATCACCCACCGCAGTGAAGTGTAACCTGTGTTTGTGTGTGTGTTCAGTAAACAGATATGTTTTCATGATAATGTGTTTGTGCTCCCAGGTGTGTGATATGAGCTCAGAGTTAGCAGGTGTTCCTAAACTACCTCGAAAACCATTATGTCTCTGACACACTAAACCAAAATTAAAGACCTAGCGGCAACTTAGCCAAAGTTGTGTCACGTTGGCGACATCTTGGCTCAAAAGTCTAATTTGTTCACACTGCAAACACTACAGCCCCTGGTCAACTATAACGTACATTCTACTTTCCAGGAAATAACTCTCCTTAGCAGCAGGCTATATTCATCTTCAAAAAAAGAAACTGATTTAGAAGCTGTTGTTATGATACGCACATTAAATCAAAGCTGCATTTAGCCACCAATTTCACACAAGCTTCTGCCGCTAGATTAAACATGTCAAATCGTGCTGTGTGCAAGGCCAAACATTGTAGCTGATCGCAAAACTTGGCCGACAGACGCTAATCTAAGGGCCAACATTGACTGACGAACGATAATCGGCTTGGTGTTTCAGGGCCTTACGTATTTATTGAATGACAGATCCTTGGAAGATCCTTGGCTGGTTTAAAAATCTGGCAAATCTGTACCGCCACTTTACGATCCTCAAGATCTAGTAACATTGCAAGGATGATTCCAGCATGGTTATAATGTGAATGAAAGTGAAATGAAGGGACAAAATCATTTTAAATGTGGAGCAAGCAAACTAAGCATGAGACTACACTTATTTCCTCCACCAAGCAATGTTTTTAGCTTTGTTCAGTTGGTTTGTTGAAACTTTGTGGAAAAGTGTAGCATGGGCCAAGAAAGAACCCATAGATGAGAGCAGCACTACGTCACTGCCTTGCAAAATGACAGCCCCGCCCAATGTCTGGTGAAAAGAAAGAATCGGCACCATTTTCTTGACTTTTCCAATCGAATAGGAAGGTAAAAGAAAAGGTTGAAAGTAGACAAAAAATCAATGGGAGCCGGTGAGTCAATACGTGTATATATGTGGGAAACACTTCATCACAGCTACATTATGATGACAATGAGGTTAACATCACAGTAATGTTACAGTTAAACTAGTTCATGTAGATGCTGCATTGAAATATAAAACACTGACAAGCCAAGGAAATGCCAGTTTAAGTGTTAGCCTGCTGCCTGCTAGTCGTTTACCAGCAGACAGAAAACACATCTATCCCCTATGGATTTTAATTTGCGAAAGTTCCCAAACGGCAGAGTGGATTCTCACATTGTTTCGAGTGCCCTTCTAGTGGTAACGCAAGGACTAAAAAGCGACTTATTCTGAGATGACAGGTTGTTTGGTTGTTACCCATCTGTTCGCTTGCTTGATTCTCAGGTTGCTTTTTGTCCTGCTGACCTACAGTACAAGCGGTTACTGGTCACGGCTGTCATAGCGAACCAGCATGCCAGAAGCAACCACCAGCCAAAGTCACAGAGGTCACTCTATCTTTGCTGCTACTATCACCACAATGCCTCATCTTCACCACACACCACAATTACAGTATGTGATATCTGCAGGGGTCCAAAGTGACTTTCAACATGATAGAAAGAAAATCCCTCTTGAAATATATTTGAATAATTATTTCCGCCACTTTTCAGGGAATCTCTCTGCAAATTGTGTGTTCAAACTGAACAATGAAGTGAAATGTAAATTATAGATGGTAGGCGGTGTCATCCATACAGGTAAAGAAGTGTCTCTGCTCTCACATTTTTTGCAGGTTTGTGCGCTGCAAAACCAGTAACCTACTTTAGCAAAGACAAAAAAATACACCGGCATACGAGAAACATGCAAATGTATTTTCTGCTTTGTGCCTCTTCAGACTCGCTGCCTCTCCAGGGACAGTTGGGATAACACAATACAGCTATAATTGGGAGGGGGCGGAAAAAAGATAAACTTCCTCAGGAGTGTGTGACAAGACTGCGAGAAAAGCTTGAATCCCTGCTGTCTTTCTTTCTGTCCTTCATTACAATTACAAAGACGGGTTGTTTGACAGAATTCATCAGAAGTCAGAGCACACGCGGCTGCCAATCATCGCATGGCCTTTACAAAATAACAGATCGTCGACAGCATAGAAAGAGGAGAGGAAAGTTCAAGATGGTGTGGAGGGAAAGCTAAAATGAAGATGTACATGTTGAAAAGTAGAGAATAGGAGGAACGGTCAGAAAATGAAAGTAGCAAAGAAAAAGGCAGGAAGAATGCGAGAGAGGACACAGGGGATTTATGCAGACTTTCAACATTTCATAAAAGTCGAGAGGATGTGTGGATATTAGTGTGTGTGTGTGTGTGTGTGTGTGTGTGTGTGTGTGTGTNGAATGACAGCGGGCGATGAGGAGATGGTGAGGAAGATGAAAGATGAGCTCTGGCTGCAGGATCTTATATCCTCATCAGTATTCGTCCGACCTTAATAAACTTTATTAAGGTCGGACGAATACTGATGAGGATATAAGATCCTGCAGCCAGAGCTCATCTTTCATCTTCCTCACCATCTCCTCATCGCCCGCTGTCATTCTGTGGCTATATACTGGAAGGATTATAGCAGCTGAAAATCAGCTAATGAATGAATCACTCAAGCCGAGTGTAACGTCTTCATGCTTTTTGCGCCGTGATGGATGGTTAGGTACTTTAAGATTAAAAAAAGATCAGGTCTCCACGTGTTCAGCCGCCTCATGTGGTGCAATACAATACGCTCCCCACTGCAGTGACCATTGAGCTGAAATGTTTGGGATTTTTTATCCTCAACCAGCTGTGGTGTTCACTGGGAACAAAGCCATGAACATTGTTTTCCTTCCAACTCCAACACCACATGGAATTAGAACACTGCTTCATATGGATTACGTACTTTGTCGGTGTAGATGTGCAACATGAGTGTGGAGCCCTGAGCGCATATACACACCACCTTTAAATCAGATTAATCTTGACCCCCGACCCCGGTGCATGTCTCTGGAACTCAAGTATGCGCCTCTTGTGTGTCTCTGTAGAAATGGCCCAGCTGAGCAGCTATGACAGCGGGAACCCAGAAACCCCAGAGACTGATGAGTCAGTGGATGTGAGTACTTCATCATATCATTATCACGTTTAATAGGTGTTGTGTCTGCAGTGGTGGACAAAGTACTCAGATTTGCTACTGTAAAAGTAGCAATACTACATTATACACAAGTACTTTGTTACAAGTAAAAGTCCTGCATTCAAAATCTTACTTAAGTAAAAGTATTAAAGTATCCTTATTGAAATATACTTTAAGTACTATCACTTACAGTACTCTTTATGCATAATGGCCCATTTCAGAATCGTAAATATTGAGTTACTGGGTTACTATTGTGATTATTCATCTGTTTTTATCACAACTGGTATATGTAAAGTTAATTTGAATAACTTTATATACTATTGCTGGATATCTTAACCTTTAAACATATGTAAAAGGTTATTTAAACATTGATTTATATTTTGTATTCGCTATTAATATAACCTAAAAAGTAACTAGTATCAAAAGCTGTTAGATAAATGTAATGGACTAAAAAGAACAATATTGGCTTCTAAAATGTAGTGGAGTAGAAGATACACAGGTAAAGTACCAGTACCTCCAAATTGTACTTAAGTACAGTACTTGAGTAAATGTACTTTGTTACTATCCACCACTGTATGTCTGTCAGCATTAAGTTCTAAAACACTCTTTCGTAAGAGATGTTCTTACATGCATTAAATTATTTAGGGGAAATGGAGATATTCGGGGATGAACCTCAGTTAAAGCACTAATAAACGAGGATGCTCTCCTTCTCCATCCCTTTATTAATTATGAACATGTCTCATGTATATCTGATGTGTTTCAGGGTCAAAGCACCACCGTCCCGCCAGCTCCTCCTAAGACCAAACCCCCCCGAGAGGAAGACTTTGAAAACATCAAGCTCATCAGCAATGGAGCCTACGGGTGAGACAGCATGATATTCACATCTTCAATATTCTAAAATGAATATTTAATTGCTGCATTACAACAAATTCCCTCGGCATGACTTGGTTTGCCGCAATAACAAACAGACTGCGTTAAGCAACAAGTCAAGTGTTTTATTTCTCTTCAGGGTCTTTTCCATAATGTTGTCAGATTTTAAATAACAACCTGAGCCTGTCTGATGCACAATCCACTCAAAGAAAATGTATTGATTGATGTAGAAGCGTACAATGAACTGAATTCTGATTCTGTAACCTCTGTGTTTCCCCTGTGCAGCACTGTGTTTCTGGTGCGTCACAAGGAGACCCGGCAGCGTTTCGCCATGAAGAAGATCAACAAGCAGAACCTGATCCTGAGGAACCAGATCCAACAGGCCTTCGTGGAGCGAGACATCCTGACGTTTGCTGAGAACCCCTTTGTGGTGTCCATGTTCTGCTCCTTCGAGACCAGAAGACACCTCTGCATGGTGATGGAGTACGTGGAGGGTAAGCTCAGTTTAGTTATATCTTTATCCTGTTGCCATTCGTAGCGGTTGTGTGGTGTTTAATGCGGAGCGTCCTGTGTAGGTGGAGACTGCGCCACGCTGCTGAAGAGTATCGGAGCCCTGCCGGTGGACATGGCTCGGATGTACTTTGCAGAGACCGTCCTCGCATTAGAGTATCTTCACAACTATGGCATCGTACACAGAGACCTCAAACCTGACAAGTAAGACACAAACACACACACCAACATACTGCCACTGAATGCCAATATGTTACCAAATTAGTGAAATAAAAACATGTGTTTTCTCATTATTTCGTCAATAAATCTTCCTCTTTTCTTTTATGTATATGTTTAAGAGATGGTTGTATTTGTTAAAGAATATGGATGCCACACCTACTGTAAGAAAGTAATGCTGAGTTCTATTTTAGTGTTATGAGTTCAAGTAATGGTATTTTAGAGGCTTTATCGGCTTTTTTTACGTTTGGAAATAATCTTTCCTTGTTCTCTCCTGCAGTCTTCTCATCACGTCCATGGGACACATTAAGCTGACAGACTTCGGTCTCTCAAAGATCGGTTTGATGAGTTTGACTACAAACATGTATGAAGGGCACATAGAGAAAGACACCAGAGAGTTCCTTGATAAACAGGTACCAGCTCACTTGTTCACCTTTATTTTATGTCGTATTGTGGCGCAAAATAAGGACATTTGCGACAGCTTTTTAAAATATCTTACAGTTTTTTGTGTGTTTTGTGAGGATTTTATAAAAAGGCAAACTTGCAGCTGAAAGGGAAGTAAAAGTTGATGATCAAAAAAGGTCATAGACATTTATTATAGCCTGAGAGCTTACGCAGTTAGCTTGCCAACAAGTTATAGGCACCTCTTCATTTCCCTCCTCCATAATAAAACTGTCAGTAATTATGACAGTTCCACAGGTTTTCCCAGAAATATTGCAAAATCATGTCAATCTAATTAGTTTGCTTTGCCATAATATTCACAACCGCTTTTCCCAGACTGATTTGTCTGTGTGCTGATGCCCCTTCAGGTGTGTGGCACTCCAGAGTACATCGCCCCAGAGGTGATTCTGCGTCAGGGCTACGGCAAGCCGGTGGACTGGTGGGCCATGGGAGTCATCCTGTATGAGTTCCTGGTGGGCTGCGCTCCCTTCTTTGGAGACACACCAGAGGAGCTGTTTGGCCAGGTCATCAGTGGTGAGTAGCTGTACCACCACTTTCTTTTTGTCATTTGTGCAATCGGTTTACTCAGCAGCATTACCAGTAGACGGCCACTTTACAGCAGGAGAAATCTCAGAGAGAACTTAATGGAATTTGCTTCCAGATTTGATTGGTACAAAAATACATTTATGCTCAATTAATGCTTATCACTTTACAATGTATTTATAATCCGTTAATGTTACCGGCTATATAAAAGTATTCTCCTTAATCCTTATATCTGTATTTTATATTTGCTGCTGTAACGCCGTTCATTTCCCTGCTGTGTGACGAATAAAGGCATTCTAATTCTTATCAACTATGGCAAATCTTGCTGCATGTAAGCAGTTAGCTTGCAATCTAGAACAACTAGTTCCCTGTTCAAGCAAGTACTAGTAATCTAAACCAGTGTTTCCTGAGCTGGCAGTTTTGATGCAACCATGCGGTCACATTTGCGCTAAAAAAAAAACACAAAAAAGAAAAAAATATCAATAATTATACAATAACACACAGTAGTAATATAATACGTTTTTAACAAGACTCCTCTAAACTACTACATGTTTCTTATATAAGTTCCTGTGAGCAGAATACACCACAGTGCAGAAAAGATGTTGAAGGTAAATGTATTCCTATACGATGGATGAGCTGCTTAAAAATGATGTCTTGTGCTGTAGTTCCTGTTCTCTGAGCAAGGCGTGTTTACAGTGTATCTGAATGTTTCATGTTGGAGCCTGGGGGCTTCCAGGCTGACTTGATGAAATCATCAGAAATGGACAGTTGGAAATGTTTCTCTACAGCAGAGAAGCACAGGGTTGACATGCAGGGAATCAAATCAATTGTGATTCCTCCTCTGCGTTTTCTTTGCTCCTTTGAATTCCCTCTGATGAAAGGGCAAGTCAATGGCCATAAACCTGTATTGATCCCTGCATGCCTTTTTTATGAGCATCTGAGTCCGCCTCTCAAGACAGCTGCACCGCGGTGATAAAGAACTCAGGGTCTCCTTGAGCGTGTTTTTATCTGTCTGCTAGATGTGTGCTAGTGAGGTGCATTGTGTAGGACACAACTCCAGGGTGCCATCACCAAATGTGTTTCATGAAGGAACAATAAACTGCTAACACTAGCTGTAGCAAAAATAACATCACAGAGAAACAACATATTGGTTGGGAAAAGATATGTTTGATAGGCAACAGCGTAAAAGCTTGTTTGATTTCTGAAAATAAACTACTGCTACTGGTATCAGGTGGTGGAAGAAATACTTAAAAGGCCTTATTAGGCTTTTTGGAGTTTTCCATTTCCTGTAGTGTGTTGTATAGGTTTGTGTGCATGTAAATGGTCTGCTAAAACTAAAATCCCAAAGTTCCCTCCGGAGAAATGTTTCTATGCAAGCAGAGCGGAAAAAGTTGAGACCTATAGTTCCACTATATTGTTTCTCATTAGTCTCCTCAGTAATAAAGACACAACATGTCCATGTGTTTACGCTGTGTTTACGCTGTGTTTATGTTAGACGAGATCATCTGGCCGGAGGACGACGAAGCTCTACCTTTCGAGGCTCAGGACCTCATCTGCAAACTGCTGAGACAAAACCCTTTGGAGAGACTGGGCACAGGTAACACACACGCTGACCAGGATCTCTGAAAATGTAGTAAACATTATTGAAACGTTTTTTTTCAGGAACCTGTTTTACTTTGTCCGAAGTTTGAACCTGCTTGTGTTTGTTAGTCTGTCTCCAGCGAGTGGTTGGCCCAAAGCTGATCAAATCTGATACTGAAGCAGCCGATGTATGTTCTCATCTGTTTCTTCTCTTTCTTTGTTCCTTTACTTTTCACCCCCCCTGTTCTCCACCCTCTCCTTCATCTCCAAAGGAAGTGCCTTTGAGGTGAAGCAGCACCAGTTCTTCACAGAGCTGGACTGGAACAGCCTGCTGAGGCAAAAGGCAGAGTTCATCCCCCAGCTGGAGTCTGAGGACGACACCAGCTACTTTGACAGTACGTCTCCCACCGATTCTTCCAAATCTCCCCCTCTCTGAAATGACACGTGCTCACACAGTTATCACCACACACAATAACCTGCTTGTTTGTGTCTCTCAGCTCGCTCTGACCGGTACCACCATGTAGATTCAGAGGATGAAGACGACACCAATGATGAAGAACCCGTGGAGATTCGACAGTTCTCCTCCTGCTCTCCTCGTTTCAGCAAGGTACAGATACATACATTCAAACTATCCACTGAAAGACAGATTGAATTTCAAAATAAAACAAATACATTTACTGTTGAGTGCGACCCATTGAGAAACATGGCTCAAAAACTGAAAGTATTGCATCCAAGCTGGTATGTTATCTGTAAAAATATTTTACGGAAGTTTATGCCATTATACTATTAACAAGCTTTTTTTTTTTTATTCAAATGCAAATTATAGTTTTATGATAACAAATATTATTTATGTTTTAAATTTGCACAAAGTCATGAAATAATGTATTTAATAATGTTTATGTAAGGCTTATATATTTTGTTGTGAAAATTATAATAGCCATAAAGAAGAGTAAGTTAATACAATCAAATAAATTAAACCAATAATAATAATTAAAAGGAAATGTTTAAGAATTGAACAATACATTTAAAAAGTTGATTAAATTCAGAGCAAAATAAATCCACATTTGGATCAGATCCAAATCCAGATGCATATTTTCAGAATTGATTTTGAAGTTTTGAGTGCTTTCTTATTTCTTAACGTTTTTATATTTAAGAGATATATTGGATAGGGACTTAATTTTGTCTCAACATATATTTTATCTAAATAAAACAATATGACATCTTACTCTGTCATTCATATGTGTTCCCAAACATGAGTTGACAGGTTCAATAAGTCTGGCTTTAAAAGCCTATGGTGGGGAATGATAAAAACATGAACTGTCTTAACACACATGTCGTGTTGTGTTCAGGTGTACAGCAGCATGGAGCGTCTGTCCCTGCACGAGGAGAGGAGGACCCCCCCGCCCACCAAACGCAGCCTCAGTGAGGAGGGAGGAGACCGTATGGACAGCCTGAGCGGACTCAAGTCCAGAGATCGATCCTGGCTGGTGGGATCTCCAGAGATGTGAGGCCTCCATAAAACACACCTCATAGAAATAATAATAATAATAATGCTTTTCAGATGGTCTTCTCCTGCGTTTGTCTATTGATTCATCCAAAAAACAAGCTGGGATTTGAGAACTGTTGACTGGAACTACTGTAGATGTGTTATTTTACCTGATACTTACCTGCCAGTGAATTAGAAATGAATATGTTTTATAGTCATAGTAAAAGTGTTCTCTGTTGCTTTGCAGTATGTTAGATGTGTGTTCTCGTTTCTCACATCCTCTCCTAATTTCCCTCCCCAGCCTGCGGAAGCGTCTCTCTGTCTCGGAGTCGTCCCACACAGAAAGCGACTCCAGCCCCCCGCTAACCGTCCGGAGACGCTGCTGCTCCGCCATCATCGAGATGCCTCGCTTCGCCATCTCCTCAGAGGAAGAGGGAGGTCAAGGTACATTCTGACAGCCTGGAAGTCAATCATTGTCAGGAAGAAACTCTTCTTAGTTTCTAAGATAAAAGGGGACAAATTACAAGAAAGAAAGTCAGCTAACAACATTGTTCAAAGCCTTATCACACAAAATAGTTTTCCCTCAACTGTTCTGAATTTAAAATCTCTGAATGTTATTCATTGTAAATGTATGTCCTTTTTCCTTCGTGTTAATTTACAACTTTATTCTTAAAGAATATCCTATTTTTTTCTGATACCTTTAAAAGTCTAATCATGGGAATTCTACGTTTTTTCTCAGAACCCCCCTTTCCTGGCTGCATATTAAACTTGATATACTAACCCACAATTACCCTAATTCAACATCGTAAGAGAAACCCTGAAGTAGACGCCAATAGATTCATATATTTTATGAAAAATAAATATAATGATCTGTAACTCTAATCCTGGATGTGTATCATTGGTTTCTCCGGTGCAGCTGGAAACCGCAAGAGCCCCAGCCTGTTGGGTCTGAGTTCTTTGAGGGGCCCCCGGAGCGAGGAGCTGCCCCTCGCCATCCCAGAGCTCCCAGTGGAGCGAGAGCTGAAACTGGAAGAGTCTCCTACCTCCGCCTCCAGTCAGCTCAGCAAGGCCACGCTCACACGTCAGTACAACACAACAGCAGACCATGACATAGCTACACATGTTGTTTTCAATGTAAAAGTCACTGTTTAGAACTAGCGCAGGGAAGGAATATTCTTTGGGTTCCATTCAAATGAAAAACCTGTTTAATTTGAATGAGGAATAACCATTGATCAAAACTGCAGCTTTACTGGAGCAATCCTTTTTTTTAGTGTGTCTCTAGGTTTTTTAAAGGTATTATAATGTCAATTGAAAAATACATATTTTTACATATTGTTAAGAGTTTTGAATGACATGTTTTTAGGTTCTTATGTTAATTTACTTTTACAATACCATTTATATTCTGACTGCGAAATGTACATACAGTATATTCAACCTCTCTGCCTGTCCTAACTTGACAAATCCACCTAAAACCTTCTGTATGATTTGTCAAAAAATACGTTTTGAATATCTTCTTTGTTAATTTGTAATATCTGTAATCACCCTGATTATGTTAAATAATTTATTCCCTGAACTCTACTCAAATCCAATTGTATTGTGTTAGACCAACATGTGCCATTAAAAACCAACAACCCTTATTCTGACCCTTCTCTCTCCCCTCCTCTCGTCCTGCAGCGGGTAGTTCAGGCGACGTGTTTGATCGTGGTCACAGACGTACCGTCAGTAACGGCGGACCCACTAAAGCTGCGACAGACAGCGACTCTCCGTCCACTCCCAGAGCCATCAGCGACCTGGCGGCGCGCAGGGCTCGCCACCGGCTGCTGTCGGGGGACACGCCCACATCCAGCTCCAGACCGCTCAACAAGGTCATCAAGTCAGCCTCTGCCACCACGCTGTCACTGATGATCCCTGCAGGTCAGTGTGTGGCCGGGAGCAGGGGGGGGGTTAGGGTGCTAGGGTGCTGCTGAATGCTGAGAGCCAGGATCATAGTCAATGTTTTTTCAATTTTAAAGGGAAGGTTGGTTGTTTTCAATGGGGTTGAATGGGGTAGATCAGGGTTCCCCAATTATATTTACCAAAGGGCCAATTTTTTTCAAGCATGACAAGCTAAGGGCCAAAATGTTATGTGTCACTAAAAGTTGTTTTACACTATGTGCAGATGTTACCTCTATTATAATTGTTGTAGTAGTGGCAGTAGTAATTAAACAAACCCTGTGTTGAGAGTAAAGGAAAAATGCATCCTTGAAACAAAATTATACCGAAATCAAACATTTATTAACAATAATAATAAATAAATGCTTTAACGAATACAAATGATTTTGCTGTGGTCTGATGGGGCATAACAATAAAACAAAACAAAAAAACAACAGAGTGAACTCTGATCAAATAGTCAGACAGGTCCACATCCAATTCAGCAAACACTGTAACACACACACACACTGGGAAAGACAGGAAGACAGAGAGAGAGTTTCAGTTAGTTACTTTTATAATGTCGTACCAAAATACACCACATTATTAGTTTTAACATTTTTAAATACGTGTACCAAATAATATCAGGCTGTAAATAACAAATAGTATTGTTTTTTTTTTACTTTATTTTTAATATATTATTTTAATGTTGTATTCAATTTAACCAGTTTGTGGGCTGTTGTTAAAAGCCCTGCATTATTCAAGGTTTTTTCTCTATCATATTAATAATTTGTTTTTAATTACGCTGCGTAGCATTTTATTTAGGAAATGAATGTACATATAAAATATAACTATAAATGGTTATTTTGTCTTAATAATTATTATACCACAATAGAATTGACAAATTGCAAAAATAAATTGATGTTGTTCACTCACCAATCAGTGAGAGAAGTGAGAGCGGCGGGATGAAGCAACCTGTCTGATGTTGGGCTTGTATTCTGTTGTGGCAATCCTGAGGCACTGTCCAAGATGTGCACTGGAGAGTCTGCTCCTGTTCTGGCTTTTGATAGCATTCATTGAAGAAAATCCTGATTCGCTGATGTATGTTGAGGGGAACATTGTGAGTAGGAACATAGCAATAGCTCTGGTGTTTTTGAAACGAGCTTGGGGAACCACGTTGATCCAAAAGTCACACACTGGTGCATCCTTGTGTTGAGCTTTCAGCAACTCAGAGCTTCCCATCTCTAAGACCTCCATCTGAAGAAGCTCCCTCTTCTATGGAAGGCACCGCCCTTTTTGGCCTCTCCAGTCCACTGCCCGTCTGCTGACACAGAGAACGGCTGTCTGAGGAGAGGAGGATGTCACGTGAGATTTTAGGGGAGCTTTCAAATCGCTCCTTGAAGTTTTCTGCCAGTTTGACACAAAATCCTCATTACTGGATCTTCCCGGCATTTCATTCTCCTGCAGTGCTCACGCAGACGTGGAAAGTGCAGCTCCTCCCATGAATATCTCTCTCCAAAGGTGCAGCTTTGACCGAAAAGCTTCAACCGCCTCGTACATCTCAGCAACAGTGTGGTTCTTGCCCTTGCAGCTGCAGTTAAGGTGATTTAGATGAGACATGATGTCACACAAAAAATTGAACATCTGCTATCACCTTGGTGTCAGTTAAAAGCTCAAAAACTCATGGGCTTTTTGCTCTGCAGGCTTGATAGAAAGAAACGACCACCAGTCATCACGCAGGTCGCCACACCTCTCTCCGAACACACGGCCTTGCTCAGCCAGCGAACATCGTTGTGTAGTAAGAGATCCTTGGTTCAGATGACATTTCCTCTAGCAACGATCTAAAAGGCGATGCTGCAGACTAGAGCTCTCAACGCACAAAGTTAACCAGTCTCTTCACAGTATCCATCGTTTCTTTCATTTTTTGACCACAGTTTTGCGCACACACTGATTTTGTGAATGATGCAGTGAATGTCAGAAGCGCGGGTTCAACCGGCGGAAAGCCGGCTTACCTAAGCCTTTTGTGCGTTCCAACCATCGACGGAGCCCGTCAGTTACAACAGGAGACGATTTGACTCACATTCAAACCATCTATTCGAGAAGAACTGTGTCAGCCTCCGTGGAAGATTATTTCCCGGTCGTGTGGACCCGGGCAGAGTAAGCGCAAACACAGCAAGCTCTCCCGAATATCTTCCATCAAAAAAGATCGTACGAAACGAACAGCTGTTCCACAGACGAGAGCAGGCTAAGATCTCAGCCACATGCGTCTGTCATCATATCCTGAATAGACTGCACAACGCTAAAACCTCTACTCTTCTAGGTTGCCGGTGTTAAGCCGACGCGCAACTTGCTTAATAGCTCGACAACCCTTTTTGTGGTTTTCATTCATTGATGAAAACTTCATGAAGCATGTCTATTCGCACACCGCTGAGATAACCAGCATCAGCAAACGGCTGCTCTTGCTCAGTCCAAGCGTCCAGAGACGTGCAATGAGGCAGCTGATGCGCTGTCGGCGCGGTAGATGTTATTCGCATGTGGAGACAGACAGATGTAGGATGCAAGCTGGAATGACCGGTATCTTGAGTGTTGCTTCGGTTAGATTCAGCATCTGGATAGCTAGCACGCAATTTGGGCTGCGATAGAAAGATGAAGTGCAGGGCTTTAGCAGGTCTGATTTAATAACAAGTTTGATTATGCACTACACTATCGGCCATTCAAAAACAACTTAAGCATGTGACGTTGGTCCGGTAAGAAAAACAGAGTACTTCTGTCATCAGCAGCAGTCATTGAACTCAGACGGTCTCCGCCTGGTCTACCCTTCCTCTCCTTAGAGAATTCCATCCTGGGTTTGAGTTATCCACGGCGCCCGTTAGTGACATGTTGGTCAATCGCTGGGCTGGGATGACAGGCGGCTAGCCTGGCGAGCTATTGTTTATATGTGTTTGCCGCTATTCCAAGGTGGTGACGAGTAATTTAGCGCGCGAAGCACGTCGGCATATGCCACGCGATAAGGTCATGGGTCAGGTTTACGAGTGTCGACGGAGGTCAAAATAAAGCGAAACCGCGGACATTTATTTTATGTTTTTATGTTATAACAAGTGAATGCCAGTAGATCAGCGCGGGCCATACATTTGCCTCTCGCGGGCCGGATCTGGCCCGCGGGCCGCTAATTGGGGTTGGCTGGGGTAGATGTTGGTTGCCACACTCCAAGTTCAGAGAAAAAGATAGGAAAAAAGCAAACAGTATTTTGGCCACCTGAAAGAAATTAAAAACATTGATATCGTTCCATTTTATACAATATTTAGAATATTTTTAACACTATCAGACGGTCCCTTTCGACGTTGAATTAATGCTAAAACACTGAGCCAGTGAACATATGGTCCTTTCATTTCATTTCAAACCTTTATTTATCCAGGTGAATCCCATTGAGATCATCGATCTCTTTTTCAAGGGAGACCTCCTTATCTACAGAGTGTTAAATGAACACTCCGGATTTTACTGTGTATCTTTTACACTTCCTTTAAAGCCACCAGAATCAATTGACAAAAACAATAAGTGGTTTACTGCTGCTTTGTTTGGTTATTTGCCTTTAAAACAACAATATCACAAACTAGCTAACTGTTTGAGGCTGAGGTAGACTAGCCTCCCCAGGTTTTTGCAAGGTCAAATCATTTTGTATGGATAAAGGCCTCACACAACCCCACTTCAAATAATGTGAAAAAGCCCTTTAAAGCTCAGATTTCTCTGCACAAAAGATATTAAGAATAAAGCAGCCCTTAAAGACAATAGAAACAGATTTTGGGATAATATTTAAGTGTGATCCTGGCTTGACTAGAAAAAGGAAGATCTAGGATTGTACTTTAAGAACACCACATTTCCACTATATCAAATATCCATTATGTCTGTTCTTAGACCACCACGGAGCCTCTCCATTGGCCAGCCCAATGTCGCCCCACTCGCTGTCATCCAACCCCTCGTCACGTGATTCTTCCCCGAGCCGGGACCTGTCCCCGGCCGTGATCAACCCCAAGCCGGCCATCGTGATCCAAAAAGTGGGCAAGAAGTACGGCTTCACCCTGAGGGCCATCCGGGTGTACATGGGAGACTCCGACATCTACACCGTACACCACATGGTCTGGGTGAGTCCCACAAGGAGACAAAAATGGCGACAACAAATATGGATTCAACCAAAAAAGTATTTATTCAAATTAGCATATACTGTAAAATGACCTTTAAAAGTAAAAGGGAAAGTGTAGAAGATAAACAGTAACTAATATTATATAAGTGTATTGTTGTAAAGATGATCCAGATTAGCTTTAGTCAGTGTGTGTCAGGATGTGGGGATTCTTGTTGTTGACAGAAGATGGCAGTAAACAACAAGCTAAGCCCATAGGTCTTTCCCTGCCTTCTTCCCATTCGTCCTCTGACCATCTCTCTCTGTTCAGCATGTGGAGGAGGGGGGTCCGGCCCACGAGGCAGGGCTGAGGGAGGGAGACCTCATCACCCAGGTCAACGGAGAGGCGGTTCACGGTCTGGTTCACACAGAGGTGGTGGAGCTCATACTGAAGGTACACACAAACTGCATTAAATTAAACTCTATGTTTTATGGAAAACACACAGTATTGATAAACAGACTCAGTGTACACCAAGTTATTTTATTTATCTTGATTTTAGTCTTCTTTTTTTTTTATCAGGACATAAAAATATTGTATTATTTGCTGCTTTTTGTTCAAAACTAATGTTAGTTCAAATAAAAAAAAATTGTTGACATAAAAACATCCATCATGAAATAGTTTTCACTCCTGCCAGAAGTACTGACACTTCGTCATAAAGGTCTTGAATAACAGTAAAACATATTTAACATAATATATTTGTACACTTATGCCTTAATTAAGTTTTGTTTTTATTGATGTTCTTGTTGTTACTCTTTTCCTCATTCTATTACTAACAACATACATTTTGTTTGTAAAGTAAAACATATTACATACACATTTGTTTTATTTAATTCAAATGGACACATTAATCTAAGTAAGACACCTAAATCCAGATCTGTAATGCTCTCCGTCCCTCAGAGCGGTCCTAAAGTGTCCATTGCTGCCACCCCGTTTGAGAACACTTCCATAAAGGTCGGCCCTGCTCGGAAGACGGGTCAAAGGTCCAAGATGGCGAGACGTAACAAGAAGACAAAGACCAAGGAGGGACAGGACAGGTGAGACACACAGCTGTGTTGTATCAGACATCACTTTGTGTGTATTCCAAGCAGGGTCGTTGAGTAAGCTGTTGTGTTTTTCAGTGCCAGCAAGAAGAGGACGTCTCTGTTCAGGAAGATCACCAAGCAGGCGTCTCTGCTGCACACCAGCCGCAGTCTGTCCTCTCTGAACCGCTCCCTGTCCTCAGGGGAGAGCGGCCCCGGCTCGCCCACACACAACCTGTCCCCACGGAGCCCCACACAGGGCTACAGGTCCACGCCAGACTCCGCCCACTCAGGTTAGAAACACTGTTCTGCAATGTTAACATCTATTCAATGGCTTTCAGGGACTGAATGATAAGTCATCTCATATGTGTAAACCTACTTTGTAATAACAGTGATTCTGATGATATTTGACAGTTTGAAGATATTTAGCATTTCTCCCTCATCAAGGGTAAAACAGTGATTCTTACAAAAAAAGAAACATATTCTACATAAATGTACTTGTAAGGATAAAGAGTATAGCTACTTGTAATTATTCTAATTATTGATCAATTATTGGTTTCCTAATCATTATTAATTGTTTTGGTCCATAAAGTTTGAAACAGATTGTTAAAAACCTTAGAAGTTGAGTTTATAGTGATAAGACATGGAAAGAAAATAGCAAATTACGTAATTATGCTTTTTTGTAACATATTTAATGTGTACAATCAAAGCAATGGGAATAACTTGTCTATATATTTAGCTTTAAATATTCAGAATAAATGGAAAAAATGGTTAGGTTGATTTTTTGTAATTATATTGTAAAAACCCCTAACCCCAAGAAATTATCCCTAAAAGTATGTATAATATATTGTAAAAAAAGCTATGTATAATTTATATATAACAATCTCTTATAATTGTATATATCTGTACACTTTATTTTATACCTATATACATTTTTGTATAAAGATACTGCCATCACATCTAAAGTGTATTTATGAATGTATTTCTTGTCCCCTCAGTTGGGGGGAACTCCTCTCAGAGCAGCTCCCCCAGCTCCAGCGTCCCTAACTCCCCAGCGAGCTCCGGCCACATCAGGCCCAGCTCTCTGCACGGCCTCGCCCCCAAACTCCAGCGGCAGTACCGCTCCCCCCGACGCAAGTCCGCCGGCAACATCCCTCTCTCCCCTCTGGCCCGCACTCCCTCACCCACCCCTCAGAGCAGCTCGCCCCAGCGCTCCCCCTCCCCTCTGCCCTGCCACGCTCTGGCCCAGTCTGCGGTGGGTCAGTCGTTCCCCGTGAAGCTCCACTCCTCCCCTCCCCTGGTGAGGCAGATATCCAGGCCTAAGAGCGCAGAGCCTCCACGCTCTCCGCTCCTCAAGAGGGTGCAGTCAGCTGAGAAGCTCGCCTCCTCCCTCGCTAACTCCCCCTCATCTCCCTCTGGCGTGACAGCGGGGGGAGCGTCTGTAACAAGCCGGAAACACAGTCTGGACATCTCACACTCAGAGTTTAAGAAAGAGATTCTGCAGAGGGAACCCAGCCTAACGAGCCTACAGGTAGGACTTCATCACATAAGTTGACAATATATTGATGCCATAATACTGTCTAAAAATGTTAACCTCTATTGATGATGGGATGGCTTTACAAAGATTCTGATACTCTTGCAAAACGCAGTGGTTCTCCAATTTCGATGTATTGGATGAGGGCTATTTCTGCAGGAATGTGCATGACCGGGAAATAAAATGTCTTTTAGATCTACAAAGTTGAATCAATCTGTTTGATTTGGAAACAACACATTAACCCGAGAATAATTTTCAGGCAACAAAGAAAAGTTAAATATTTACAGACAGACACACAACTTTTTCCAAACAAGCAATTCTGTGCAGCTCATTGAAGCGAATTACATTTAAACCTGAAAGAACCTTTTCTGTTTGATGTTCTTCAAAAGGATCCAGCAACAGAGAAATCACCAACGACACAAACTAGTTTGTTATTTTGCCAGAGTGATTGTCATCTTATCAGTGTGTAGCTGCTGACTGAACTACTATATTGAAGGATTTCTACATTTTGTCATATCTTTTTTGTTTCATCCCTCCCCCACCCAGGAGTCAGCCAGCGAGGGTCTGCTGTCCTCTGCCGGACGCGGCGTGGAGAAGGGCAGCCTGCAGAAACACTCCTCCTCATCCAGGAAGTTAGGGCGCCAAGAAGGGGACAGTTCCCTCAGCTCGGTGTCCGGCTCGCTGGGCCTGGCTCCCGGAAAGAGCAAGCTGAAGGACAAACTGTCCGCCATCCGGCAGGACAGAGCCGAGAGGAGAGAATCACTACAGAAGCAAGACGCCATCCATGAGGTCGACTCCTCAGAGGACGAGACGGACGAAGGCTCTGAGGACAGCCAGGACGGACGCAGGGGAACGACCTTTACCCCCCCTCCCCTGCTGAGGCCCACCACTGTGAGGAGCGGGCCTGGAGGCACCCTGCCGTCCCTCTGCCTCTCACCCTGCACCCCTCATGCCACATTCTCCCACACGGGGCCCTCACAGGTAGGCAGGCCGACTCCTTTGCACACACTACCCTCCGTTTCAGAGACGAAGCCTGGACAGTTCGCCTCCCCTCTGGGAATAAAGGACCCCAGGTCTGTCTCATCTGCAGAAGACAGCGTGAGACAAGAGAGGAAGGTTTTTGAGCCAAGTGCAAAACCCATTCAGGGCCCCCTTCCCTTCTCCACCCCAGGCAGTGCATTCATCTCAGTCAACAAGGACACTTTCCTCAAGCCTGCTCCTCCATCGGACCTAAAGACTCCTATGGTGAAGGCTGCACCCTCTGATCCCAAATCAGGGGAGCAAACCCTGGTCAGCACCAGGACCGCAGTCCCCTCTACCACAACAAATACTACCAACTCCCGAAGCACCACAGACTCCAGAGACTCCAGAGACTCCAGACCCACCACCATCAGTACAACAGACAGTTTAACCGCCGACAGCCAAGAGACCCGCCCCTCCTGCTCCTCTCCTGGTATCCCCAAAGAAAAGAAGGAGGCTGACAACCGGAGACTTTGTGCTGCGGCTGCTGCAAGTCTGAGTGTGTCACCCTCGTCCACTTCTGGCTCCAGCTCCTCCGCCAACTCCCCAGTCCCGCCCCCTGAGAGTACCATGGACAAAGTTGTGTCCCAGCTGGCGACAGTAGCTAAGAGTGTTCTAGGTCCTGTCAAACTGAACGCCACTGCTGACAAGAGCCAGAAAGACCAGATACCATCCAGAGGTGGCACCCCAGAAGTCCCACCGTCTAGCCCCTTCTCATTTCCATCCAAAGGGCTACCAACCCCTCAGTCTCCCATCCTTTCAGGGTCCCAATCCAGACAAAAGACTGAGCCAGCTGCCCCCTTGACCACCTCGCAGACCAAACCTTTAACCCAGAAAGACTTTGCAGCCCTGCCGTCTTTGTCATGCAAGGAAGTCCCAGAAAGGCCCGCATCAGGGTCTGAGACCGCTGCTATGTGTCCATCTGCACAGAGGCTGGGCGCAGCAGCCGCTCTGCCTTTCCCAAACGCAGCATCCTCTGCAGCAGCTGAGCCACAGCAGAAGAGGTCCGAGCCCCAGACGGCCTCTGTCAACGCCACCAACGCCGTGTCCGCCTCCTCACAACAAGACAAAGCAATCTGCAAGAAGACGTAGCAGCAGGAACCAAAATAGCAGATCACACAGCTCAGTGCTGGTTCGAGGTTTTAGAACTCACACAATCTGCATGTTTTGGAAGAAAAACATATTGGTAACTTGTCATTAATCTGAGAGGTTCACTTTCAAAATAAAAGAAAGGCGTAGAGAGGGTTGAGGAGCGGAGACAGATGCAGCAGTCCTAGTTTCATTCCAGTGCTCTCGGTGTTCATGTGAGTTATTTTGGTGTCCTGTCCTCTTTGGTTTCTGCTTTCAGACTGAATGGCAATATGAGTTGGCAGGTTTTTTTTCTCTTTCTGCAAACATGTACGGGGCTAGAAATAAAAAGCTCAGTGGTCCATGCACATACAATTTAAAACGTTGACACATCACACACACCTTCCTTGCTCTCGATCTCCTTGTGCTGCCTCATTACTTTTCACCTTGATGTTTGGCAGAGTCTTCACGCATGTTCTACATACAGATCAGGACGTGCCTTACTGAACACACACTTGTTCCCCTCTTCCCTTCCCTTGAAAAAGATTGTATCTCAGCAATAAAGTGCAGCGTATGTTTAGCAATCTGTGCAAATGCATTACATTGTTTTTAATAGTACTTAATCTGCACCGTCAATGTGCACTCAGCACCCAGATAACTAGGCCAAATCAAACTCCACTCTAGATGTAGTCCCTCAGGCTCAGCACTGCAGGCCTGCGGCAGGGAGGTATATCCCCTGAGCACGGGCTCCAGGCGTGGTTATAGGATTGGATTCTTGGGAATGTCAGCCTATTCCTAAACTGTACCACTCTCCTCACTCATCACCCAGCTTTATGTTTAAAGTCTGGATTGATTTAAGTTTTCCTAGATTTTTCAGTTCTTTTTCCAAGTTCTAGCCATTCATCCCTAAGAGCTAGAATAGATTGCATTCCTTCCAAGTTGAAAGCCTCCACTGCCTAGAAATGATAAACATTGTTCCTTTAGTTAAACATGTGACTACTAGCTAAAATGCTATAGCGTTGTGATTCAAATATTACATCTGGTTCCATGTTGGAAAACACCCAGACATGACATGAGCTCTGACATTGACGAAACTCTCTTTAGGGTTTACTCCTAGCTAGCTAGAGTAGCTAACCATCACTTTCATGTGTTGCTAGTGCCAGATAAAAAAGCATTCTAGCTCTAGTTAATGATTTTAGATTTACTAAAAGATTAGCGCTTTGATAAACTATTAGAAAACCCTCATATTTGACAAGCTAATTACTGGAATAAATATCCTTTTTAAAACCCAAGCCTAGCATATTAGCATTAGCACACTTGCCCTCCCTTTAGTTCTTCTATACTGTATATACCACGTTAGCAGGCTTATCAAATGTGTTTTAACTCTGCACTTCAGATTTAGATTGCCCCTTTACACGTGTTTTAGTTCCAAACACACGCATAGAAAGGAAGCCAAGGACTTGAACACTGATTTATTGGTTTTATCGACACTCAGCTGAAGAACCGAAACTGAGCTTGCTTAAATTGACTGAGGTTATTTTAGAAAACATGTTTCGGTTGGACCACCGCCTTTTTATTTCTCGCCCCATCAGCCTCTGAAGGCTGCGGTAGTTTTATTTGGTATCTGGACCAACTTGCTGTGTTTTTTGCCTATAATCCTGTAAAGTCATCAGACTTGACTTTGTATATGTGTGTGAGAGGGAGAGAGCTTTGTTAATTTGTGCATGGTAATCTGTGTGTGTATGTTTATATATACAGATACACATGTGTATAAGAATATTTAAAGTTCTGTTTGCATCTGTTTTATACCCTGAGTGTGTGTCTGCGTGCGTGTGTCTTAGGATCACACCCTGCTACCTGTGTTTGTGGCCGCTCGAGCCCTCTACGTGTCGGGCGTCAGGCTTTGCACAAAACTTTTATCTCATTTGTCAAACGAAAGGCAAGGAATCACTAAAAGGAAAGCCGAAGGAGATTTTTGTCCGCTCACTGCTGTGTGTTGGGTTGGAGCTCAGTACTGCTATCGCTAAAACTAAAGTGCAGTAAGCCTGTTAAAAACAATTTCTCATGTTTGTTATTTCTCGGATATATTATCTTTCATTTAGTCCGTTGTGATCCCGCTCCTGATTCCTACTGTTCCTTTGAAGGCAAGATGTTTTATTTCTTTTTGGTTTATTTGACAGTTTTAAAGAATTCCCATTTCATTGAATGCACACCGAGCCCAACCCCTGGTGTGAGTCCACTTGTGTTGTACATTTGAACGTTTTCTGAAAAGCAGGATGTTCCTGTGAGTTAAAGATGAACTGAACCTCCCTCAGTGTGTTGTGTCACTGTCGGGAGAGAAAGCCGAGCTCACCGGTTTCAGTTTAACTAGACTAGAGCTTTCAGGCTCGCTTTGAAAGACTCTGTTAGAGTCTGACTGTGGCAATCTCTGTAATATGTTTACATGTTCTTGTTTTTGTATCTCAATGTGTTTTTTTTGTGTCAATGGAACTTGTTGCCTGTAGCAATCAATCTCCTCTGACAGGCTAGGATAATTACCAATGACGTGTTTAGGTGACTCCTGACCTGTGAATATGTGGTGTGAGTATTTAGCTGTGTGATGAAGAGGTCACCTGTGATGGAGGGTGTGTAGAAAGGAGAGGATTCAGCGCACACATGTCAAAATCATCTCCGCTCTCGTGCATGTCGCCCCTCTTGTCTCATGGCGGCGCAGAATGGATTTAACAGGTGCGTCTGTAGAGATGATCAGCATTTAGGCTCATGGGAGAGGAAGCAAACTGTTTGACTTGGTAACATCTCAAGATGTATCTGCAGTTCACTCCGGCCCATAAGACGAGACGTTGAGACTAATCATTTTAAAAACTATTTCTGTCCGTTTGGGGCGTCAGATATGAAAAGTCCTGTTGATTAACCGACCACATTGGATGTTATTCACACAACACAAGCTTCTTGCCTCTTAGTGTGGTTTCACCAGGACAATTAGAAGACTATTTCAGAGACAAAAGAGGACAAAGTGAAACAACATCTCAACACATTTGTAGAATCAGTCAGCAGGTTGTAATTGAGAGCGAGCACGGACAGATTAATAAGCACTGACTGAAGTTTTAGAGCATGCAAACACAAGTCTTTGTGTAGATTTGTGCGAGTAACACATCTGGCTGTAAATAATTGGCGGGTTTGGGCATGTACCTGGTACGAGCTTATTAAAGAGCAAAGGTCATTCGGAATATGATACTTTGTGCTTTGTTGCACAAATTCTAAGACTGGTGGCACCCAACATCAGGCTTTTATACTTCTGAATCTGAAACTAAAACTAGAGCTGCAATATTATCAGCAGAACTTGATATGTCCGGGAATTACAAGTAAAGTCTATACAGAAATGCCAAAGATATGATAAAGGTCCTTTTAGAAAGGGTCTCTACACGTTTAGTTTAGTGACCCTTACCAAAAAGAAACAAATATTGACCATTATATTTCAATCAGATCCAAAATCAGTGCCTCGATAAAACCACAATAACTCAGCTTGTTGCTTCATGATTTGTCCCCGTGTGCTCTTGAATCCTGACCAATTAAGACAGCCTGATTAATTCAAACCTGAAATTCGACTCTTGATCAATCATTTTGTCCCTCAATAATCTTTCAGTATGAGTTTTTGTCGGTGCTTTAATCTCCACAGGCTGTCAGAGTTTCAGTTTTACATTCTGATGAAACACCGCTGTCCACTTCATCTGCAGATAATTGGAACCTGAGTGTGTTTGTGTGTAATCACACACACTCCAGTCCTTCTGCTCGCAGCTGGTCGTCCTATTAGTGCTACACAGACAGCTGTCTCACACACACACACACACACACAGATCAATACTTGTGCCATCTAATGCACCGGTGCCAGTTTACCATCTCCTCTAACAGGATAAACACACACACACACATACTTACCCCACAAACACACCTTCTCCCGAGTGTAAAGATGATGGTCTGGCCATCTGCTGGAGAGTGAAGCAAGTGTCAGGTTCCCTGGTGGAGTCATTAATCTCCAGCCCTGAGCCTGTTGACACACACACACACACACGCTGGCCCACTAAAACACTTCCCATCATCCCTCAGGCTCGGCTCGGTTCGGTCCGGTCAGTTCAGCAGTTACACTGTTAGCAGTTTGTTCGGCCTGCAGCCTGTGTGTACCCATCATGCACCTCTGCTGCTCTGCGGCTGAGGCCCACAAACCAGACACTGAGCCTCGTAAGTTCATTTAACGGCCTAGGGGCCAAATTGAATCTGTAATCAGTGTGAAAGTTGGGAATTGAGAGCATGCGCCTGGACATATCTTGTGGTATTATTGACACCAATTAATTTCCATACATATTTGTGAATCCTGTTGAAACAGCTGCAGGAAGCTTTCAAATTAAAAGATAGAAGGTGTGTGCATTCTCTTACATTTATTACAGTTTTAAAACAAGAGATTTTTTTAAGATGTCCCTGCGTGCTTGCAGATATCAAACCATGAATTACAGACTGATGGAAGGATCCGTTTTGTCACTAAGGAGCTTCCGTAAATCTCTCAATCTGAGCGTGTGAATTAACCAGCTCTGTCTGTGAGGCACATAGAGGATTCCAACTAGAGGCTTTGGGTATGACAAGGTACGAGGTGAAGCTACACACACACACACATGTTCAGAACCACGAAACAGCAGATGCAGTGATGTTTCAGTGTGCCGTCTGTTGAGCTCCTATCTGCCTCTGAGGGGTCGTGTGTGAGAAACGTTGACAGACTTGACTCTTGTCGATGAGGGCAGGATTTCCAAGCTGTGTGTTTTTGTGTTTTGTCTTTAAAGAGTAACGAAGAGGAGAAGGAAGATTCATCTGTGCACCGTTAAAGCTTGAGAAGGACATTAAGAGAGAAAAAAAACATTGCTAGAGTAAAACCAGTGCAATATCTTTTAATTTTTTATTGTGGTAAAAGCATGTTGTTGTCAATCTTACCTTACAACAATAATAAAGGTTTTTTTTATGTACGTCTTGATTGTGATTTATGATGTTTTGTCTTTCACTGTGTCTTATAATCACCTTGTATGTGGCACATCCTTTTTAACATCAAGGCACATACAGTGGGGCAAAAAAGTATTTAGTCAGCCACTAATTATGCAAGTTCTCCCACTTAAAAAGATGAGAGAGGCCTGTAATTTTCATCTTAGGTATACCTCAACTATGAGAGACAAAATGAGAAAAACAAAAATCCAGAAAATCACATTGTATTTTGCAAATGATGGTGGAAAATAAGTATTTGGTCAATAACAAAAGTTCATCTCAATACTTTGTTATATACCCTTTGTTGTCAATGACAGAGATCAAATGTTTTCTGTAAGTCTTCACAAGGTTTTCACACACTGTTGCTGGTATTTTGGCCCATTCCTCCATGCAGATCTCCTCTAGAGCAGTGATGTTTTGGGGCTGTCGCTGGGCAACACGGACTTTCAACTCCCTCCAAAGATTTTCTATGGGGTTGAGATCTGGAGACTGGCTAGGCCACTCCAGGACCTTGAAATGCTTCTTACGAAGCCACTCCTTCGTTGCCCGGGCGGTGTGTTTGGGATCATTGTCATGCTGAAAGACCCAGCCACGTTTCATCTTCAATGCCCTTGCTGATGGAAGGAGGTTGTCACTCAAAATCTCACGATACATGGCCCCATTCATTCTTTCCTTTACACGGATCAGTCGTCCTGGTCCCTTTGCAGAACAACAGCCCCAAAGCATGATGTTTCCACCCCCTTGTTTCACAGTAGGTGTTCTTTGGATGCAACTCAGCATTCTTTCTCCTCCAAACACGTCTAGTTGAGTTTTTAACCAAAAAGTTCTATTTTGGTTTCATCTGACCATATGACATTCTCCCAATCCTCTTCTGGATCATCTAAAGCAGGGGTGGGGAACCTCCGGCCCCCGGGCCGTATACGGCCCGCGAGACCATTTGGTACGGCCCTCGAGGTAATTTATAAACAGATGAAAAAAGGAATCTAGATCGCAAAAAAATTAAACAAGCGAGTGCCTGTTTTCCTGGCCAAGGTCAGGGTCCTTGAACACAACACAAGCCTAACGTGTCATCACGTGGTGTGTGCCTCGTCTGACAGGGGTTTAGTGCTGACGGAGAGCCCCACAACGCCGCTCTGGCACTTCATAAATTGCAGTATCCATAAGGAGCCGTACACATGCCGCAGTTTTGCGTGGCTGTGTCTTTAGTTGTAAGCCCAGTGGCGATCTGTTCATCTGTCATACTGATCATACATTCAATAACTTTCTTGTTATTGGGGGCCCTTCTAAACAAAACAACTCAACTCAATTTTCCGTAGTTACGACCACGTGAAACTCTCGGTTAATCCTCCTAGACTATGTAGAGAGTTGTGGGTATACTTTGTCTTGACCATTCCGTCTAGAGAAAAAATATACCTATAAAATGTTTAGTGAGGGCGAAAATTTGACGATAGAACAAAACTTATTGTTGAATAAAAAAAATGAACACCGTATATCGATAAGCACATGGAACAAATGAAATAAAGATGAATAAAAACATATCGATCCAGTATATTCTACACTGGAAATGAGTGACCAATAATCTTCCGCAAGAATATAAGTAATCGGTATTCGATCCGATTGGT